TAAGAACCAGCTAATAAAATGTGCCATCGATTTCCTTTTTCTGTCCTTTTGATCCTCTGTTATATTTAAAGGGAAAAAAGATACATTAAATTCCAGTTCTAATAATAGCCCAAGTGGGCATCAAGTACCTAAGATGATGAAGAGAGAAACCTTTCCACAGTATGGTTTGCTTTGAGCCTAAATGAAGTTGACCACGTCAGGTCATTGAAGGAAGTCAATGACCTATGGCTCAATCTCATTATATCCCTAAGTCACATTCACTAGTAGTGATTAAATGCTGGGTGTCTGGTCAGGATGGGAAAGAGATTAAGTAAATATGCTAGGTTGAAATCTTCGTGAATCCACAGGATTCAGGCTTCATGTGAACGCAAGCTGTGTCTACATAGGCTCCTGAACATCCAAATGTCCCTATCCCACTCTCTTGCATTCAATCACTGCTAGGGGATGTGATTTAGGGATACGATGAGCTTGAACTGCATGGCATCGACCTCCTTCTATGCCTTGATGTCACTAAAGAACATCATCATGGCCAACTTTATTTAGGCTCCAAGCAAATTTAGGCTGCAGAGACTTCGGAGGAAGCACTTCAGAGAGCTGCACAGTTGATTTCCAGTGATTTTGGTGGCAGGAGGAACCCTTAGCTGTCTAATTGTAATGCCTCCGCACTGACATGTCTTTGATATCAGCCTTTGTGCATCAACAGGGCGCCATCAGACAGCCACATATATGTCAAGAAAAAAAAATAATGCTCAGAGGAAGAAACAAACAAGATCTTTTAAAATATAGCCAAAAAGGAAGAGAGCAGACACTGCATGCACATCTGTGTCTGTGGAAGCTGGAGGTTCACATCTGGGGCCTTTCTCCACTTTATTTCCTAAGGCAGGGTCTCTCTGATCCAGACACTTACCAACTTGGGGGTATACTAGCTATCCAGCAAGTCTTAGGGATCCTCTGTCTCTGCCTCCCCAAATCTGGGATGATAGGACACACCTCATGCCCAGCTCTTTGCACAGACCCTCGTGATGGAACTGAGTTGCTCATTCTGTGTGGGAGGCCCTTCGCCAGCTGAGCATCTTCCCAGTCCCCGCCATGTGTTCTGAATATGTATTTTCCGAAAGAGCAACTAAAACTTGTAACTTGTTCTGTGACGCTGGCAAGGTACCCTGAAGAACCAGGGTCCTTGTAATTAGTTGCATTAATCATGGAGACCAAATGTATCCTCAGCTTCTACTGTGTGCTAAGGATCGAGATGTTTACCCAAGAAGACAGCTAACATGGCGCTCCTGCGTGCCGCTGTAATTTCCACTTGACAGAGTGTGTGTTTGTGTGGTGGGTGTTTGCTTTTCATTTACCCACGTAGAGCTTCATCATCCTTTTGGAAATGTATTGATTTATTCAGTGAAGTAGAAAGTGAAGGGAAAAGGAAAGGACTGCGCAAGTGTACTGCCCTAGCAGTGTGCTCATTTAGCCCACCCGCCATCCGTCCTCCATCATTACCTCTGGTCAGTTAGTCTTTCTGTACCGTAAAATGCAGAAATCTGGGGCCTCGTTCACTACATATCCTGTCAACAGCTCCATTTCTAAAAAAACGTAGACTTGAGTATCCCCGGTTTTGTGTTAGAGCACTGTGTGTCTGGCCTCTCCTGGCAAGCATGTGGCGATGGCGGAACTATGTCCTCTGCGTGTAAGGATGACACGTCGTCTTCCCTTCCGGCACCACAGCATTGGAGGCAGGCAGCAAAGGTCTGCACTGTGGCTCTCCACAGGCCGCCTTGCCAAAGGGTAAATAAAGGACATCCATCCATCAGCTTTCAAGCTGCCACCCTCTCTTCCTTTCCCCAGCCCCCACGTCTCTCTGAAACTGGGAGGAGGGGAGCGCTGATTATTTTTGCCTATTTCTAGCGGAGCTTGGCATGAACAATAAAATTTAGGGCTTCCCTGTGGTCTGTGAATAACAATGCACAGTGCTAACTGTTAGGGCACAAAGGCAGACGACAACAACAACAAAAAGGGTTGTCGTTGTTTTTATTTCTTGTTTACCCTTCAGGACACTGTTTACCTTATCACTGAGAGAGGGACTTGCTCATCTCATCGCTTTTGGAAATCGCCCTAGGTTTGTTCTCTGGCTCTCAGTTTCAGACTGTCCAGTGATGGAGTGAGCATGTCAGCCTGGGACTAAGGAACTTGCAGGAGGCTCTACTCTCCGCTAGCTCCACCTCTGAATGTGTCTGTCTGTCATATGTCTGTCTGTCCGTTTATTCATCCCTCCAGCCACCTTTCTGTCTCAGGCTTCTATCTTGTGTCCCTAGAGTATACACCCTCACTTCGTCATTCTCACCAGCTCTCTTTCCTTTTCCTTGATTTCCTGTCAGACCTTTTCCTTTCTCCCTTTCAACCCGAATGATTTCCCCCCTTTTTTTCCCTCTCTAAATTTACTTCACAGCAGATTGTCTTGTAGTAAATCACCCAAAACCCAAATAGCACTAAAGCATTCTGATACAACATTAGCATTTGCTTAACAAGCACAAGATAAACATTAAACAAAGAACTGCATTTCTTTATTAGAGGCTGCAAGATACATAATCCATGAGCACAAGAAACATGGGACCCAGTGGATATGCAGATGTGTGTTATTTCATTGGCGCTGGGCGGCCTTGTTAGAAAAGGTTTTCATCTGAAGGCTTGGGGGTGGGTGGTTGACTGTCCCTGGTGGGGCTGTAACTAGATTCAGAGACTGTTGCAAGCTAGGCCGGGCTCCCTGGTGGACCTGCTGATTGGACAGCCTGAGGAAAACTTGGGAAGCACCGGGAAGTGAACTCAATCACCTTGGGGATGATAGGGTAGAACCAGATGAAGGCATTTGACTTCTTTTGTGACTCCCACTAAGGACAGATTGCCAGTGCGATCCAGCCTCCGTAACTGCAAATCAGGCCCTTCTCCTATGCCGATTTCATTAGAATGGCCAGCATGGTGCAAAGAGGGAGAGAGAAAAAAAAAAGAAAGGGGAAAAAAAAGGTTAGACACAGTAATTTTACAGGCAGGCGGGTACAAAAAAAATCTGCATAATTAAGCAGTCAAGGCTGCTAATAGGGGAGTTTATATGCTCTGGGACCAGGCAAGGGCAGCACATATGGATATAGCGCTGGATATTAAATCTACGGCATGCAGACTTACTTCAGGGCCCTGAGAGAAAAGGCTAATTATAGAGAGAGGAATTGTGTTTACTGGTCTGTCTTGGGCAAAGATGGTGAAAGAAGTGCAACCAAGTTTTGCAGTTAGACATGAACAGGCTGCTAATAGAGATATCAAAATATGTGCTTCTGGTTGTTTCCCACCTAATCAACACAACATTATAGATTCTACGGACACTGCCCCAGCCCCCAGGCCCCAGCCCCCAGCACAGACAAAACGCTGGGAGGAAAGTTTCAGGTAGTAAATGCATGCAGCACGCTCCCAGGCAGGCTGGGAGGGCGCTCTTTCTGAAAGGCCACCATTTCATCTAGACTAGGCTCTTTATCATCAATACATTTTTTTTTTAATTTAGGAATTGAGCAACCTCTGTTTTAAAAAATGGCAGTGCTCCTGGGCATGGGCCCAGAGTCAGCACTTAACCCAGATGTGGAGCTGGTAAGTGCCAGCTGCAGTGGGCAGGAGTGACCCTTGCCAGAGAGAGGGCATCCTTCTAGAAGGGCTCCGATGGGATGGACATTAACATTTCATAATGCAGATCAAAGGTACCGAGAAAACCCACAGGTCCCTTTGTCACAGGCCCCTAATGACAGCCTCATCCAGGAGCTGAGACGACTTCTTCCGATTATTAAAGAGATGCATTTCATATTTGTATGTATGTATGCATATGGGGATGCACGCCTTTACTTATTTATTTAATTCCATACAAAGAACGTTCTCTGAAGAGGACTGGAGTGTGGACCATTTGCCCCAGGCTGCATGTGCCGAGGCATGCTGGGTTGTTTCAGGGACCACAGCCTCCTGCAGATTTCCTTTCCAGAGAAGCAGTCTGGACCCTTTGTCCTTTAGGAGGCTTCCCATGGAAAACAGCAGCCCTCTCCTAATACAGATCAGCGGCTATGGGCTTGGGTCATTTGTGAGCCTGTCGTGCATTCCATTACTTAGCCCTGACAAGGAGAGCCACAGAAGAATCCCACTGCCTCAGCTCAAGATGTACTAAAAACCTCAGGCTTATGAAGGTAAACAGCAGCTGATCAGCCAGATATTGGGTCAGGCCTGCCTGACATCTGGGCTCTTCTCGGAGGCAGGGAATTCAGTGCTAATGAGAAGGCATGAGCTCTGCCTTGAAAAGCGAGAGTCGGAGAGGCTAATGACCAGGCACGTGAGCCCCTGAAGAGCATGGGCACCACGTGGCACGAAGGGCTGGGCACCTTTCTCTTGTCCCTTGCGATGTTCACTGACTGACTGACCGGCAGTGTTCATTTTGTTAGCACAGCTGCTCAGACATCATGGTAGTTGATTAGGACAGAAAAGGTCTTGAGAGACAAGTCCATTATTGCAGACGCCCAATGCTGATAGTTCCTACCGAGCTTTGTAAATTTATATTTCCTTAGCTATTATTGAGTTCTTAAAATCAGATTGGTCCCCAGAATTGTTTTTAATACAGTCCCTTCTAATGTCCCCTAACATTTCTAGAGGTCACAAAGAGGTGGCATTCTGAAGAAAGGAAGCTTGGATTGCCCGCCGCTTAGCAGGGACCCTGTGAGGCCAATGGAAGACAGTAGCCTTCAAGCACTTATTAAGGCCATTCTTTTTATCCCATTCTCTCTACTGGAGACATAAAAATGTAAGACAAAGGCAAGCTGGCAGGACTAAGGAGAGGTCAATACCTGAGAAACGATGGAACTAAGTGTAGCATGCATGGGGCAGGCCCAACCACTATTTTGCAGCTTGTCAAGGGAAAATGAGGTTGAACAGAACAGGCAGAAAGCAGCCTGCCAAGAAAAAGGAATAAAGTATTTTATTTTGGATGGAAATGAATATGAGGGACAAGTCTGAACACAAGGCTGCTTTTCTTTTTTAACTTTGAGGCTGGACAGAAGTCAGAGAGGTGGACAAATGGCTTGCCCTGGGACTGGCATGATGGCAGGTCTCTTTGTTCATTGACTGAGTTACAGGGAAGAATCAGCCATGAGTTTCCAATCCGCAGGTGGACATCCGTCGTAGCCCAGGAAGTTTATCAGAGGATCTCCTGACCTCCCTGCTTCTCTCTTCCAGACTCCTTCCCTTCATCCATCCATTCAGCTAAAAACCAAACACAGGTGCTTTGAGAACAACCCTTGTAATTGATCAAGATAATGAGAAAACTTGAGAGTCATTTACCCTGAAGGGGGAGATAAAACGCATATTGGGGAAAATGAAAAATGTGCTGTAAGAACCTTAGAAGGTATGGCCAAAAGTCAGGGCAAAGGTAATTCTCAGTGAGAGAAGGGAAGGTTGGAAATGAGTCCATTCCATCTATGTTAGCTCAACAAATGTCTATGATGTATGTGTTTAGCTAATGCTAGATTGGCTAAATGTTTCTCCCTCAGCCCATCCACACAATTCATAATCCCCAACACACACACACACACACATGCACATTCACTTATACACAAACACAGTCTCACACACATACATACAAGCAAACTCTCTCTTACACATACATTCACTCATACACAAACACACATGCATTCTAACATGCTTTCTCTCTTACAGCCACACAAACTAACACACTGTCGGGAGGAGGAAGAAGGAACAAAATAGTCATAGCTGCTGCTGGCTGTGCCTTCAGAGGGAGGGATTTTCAAAAGTGGGTAACCTGACAGCATCAACATCTTCTGGGTATTTTTTTTAAAAGTTTATCATTACCATATGCTGAGAGTTCTCATAAATGTCTGGGTTACGGTTAAAAACTAACAGAAGGTCTCTGCTGCATTTACCAAAATGATCCCACATGTCTAGAGGGATGGCCAGCGTGTGAGCCTCAGTGGCAGGACTAGGAAACCCCTTCCCAGGAGGCAGCTGAAGCTGTGACGCTGTCACCAGCTGCGTCCCATTCTGGACAGTGTCTGCATTAGTGTCTCAACCTGTGGCTACTGTGGCAGGTCTGCCCCTCAAGCCCTGAAAACCCCTAGAACTGCCTTGAGCAGGCTGCCACCTGCCCACAGAGAGGATTGTGGCTTTTGTGTAGCCACGGCTACCATCCTTCTTGCCTATAGCCGTACTGCAATACAGGCCCCTCTCTGCCCCATAAAACTTAGCTGTGTCTCCCCATTTTGACTCTATATGGCGTAGAGGAGGAAAAATAGATGGGAATGAAACAAATAAATGAATTTTAAAGACTGAAAGCAATCATAAAAACATTGCAATACCTAAAGGAACATTTGCTTAGTGCTTAAAACCAAGAATGAATAACATTGACTATAGTCTTTGTCCACTAGACACTTGATAGATTGATGGATGGATAATAGATAGATAGATAGATAGATAGATAGATAGATAGATAGATAGATAGATAGATAGACAGACAGACAAGCAGGCAGGCATGTAATTTCATCCTTTAATCCTGATGTATGCCACTTGGTTGAACCTTGATGCTCCCATTGCATTAGTGTTTCTGCTAAGGCACAATGGCGGTAGTATGCATATGGGATGACATAGCCCGTGAGTGGCAGAGTTGCGTGGCTCTGAACCTTTCCAAAGTCTGAGTTGCTCATCCTCTGCCATCCGATTTCATGGGAAGAAAGGCCTCAGTGAGGCTGCCTGCGACAGGCTTTATACACACTGCTTCACCCGCTACAGTAGAAATGGTTTAGGCCTATGGTAGAGGTCTGTGTTTGCCCATGTGTGTGCTGTGTGGTCCCTCCCCTGGTTTAAGCAGCTTCTATAGCAGCAGAAAAAGTGACAGATTACAAAACTGGACCTAGGAGTAACCATAGTCTAAGTGACATATAAGCCCAAGCCCCGTGTTAGAATAAGAGGACTTTTTTTTTTTTAGCATACTGAGGAGAATAAAAACAGTGTTTGACCACTCCACATCTTTCTGTTTATCAGAAATGTATATTTAAGCCGTAGGAGAGTGGGCTGAACTGCATCTGTGACCTGTTTCTTCTGTGCTTGCAAAACTGGATGTGGAAGTGGAGACTGCACCGTGTATGCTCTGAGCTGCCAGAGTGGGAGCGTGCAGCCGCAGCTGGGGAGGTTTGGGTACCATTCGTGGTGTGCTACCATTGTGACTTAGGAAAAGAAAATGCCACTGCTAGGCCTGCCTCCATTTTCAGCCACTTCTTAAACATCAATTAATGCAATCAAACATAGTACGGGGAAATCTAACTTTTTATTTATGTTTCTCGGGGCCAGGGAGAGTTTGTTTGTTTTTAATTCAACTCCAGTTCTTGGAGCAGCATTTTCTTGGTATTTTCCAAATCAACGCCATAAGTTATATTTAAAGGTCTATGTGAAAGTCCCCACATGAAGAAGAGAAAACAGCCCCGTAACTGGTACCATTTGTGGGGAAACAAACGATTCTGCCTAGTTTCACGCAGCCTGAAAATAATGGCATTTTGGATCGTGAGAAACAGATTTTGTTTTGTTAATGGATCATATCAGTTTTCTTACCCACAGCAGCAAAATCTCAAGATGTTGTTTCTCCTTGAATTACTCTGATTCTTCAGTGCCACATGTTCAACTAACTCTTAATGAATGAAAAATAACAATTGGAACAGTGACTAAAAACTGAATGTCATATTTTTGTTCTCAGTGTAAATTTAAAGAGACATCGAAATGGATCAACAAGCTAGCCTGAAAGGTCGAAAATGGAAGTGTGCTTTTGAGAGCTTTGTTCCATTTCACTGTGTCAACTAAACATTAGCACTGCAAGCTACTCAGTGGTCTCCTGCCTTCCACGCCAAGGGTCCCAGGAAACCAACATTGATGAGTTCAGTAAAAACTTGGCTGCAAAGTGACATTTGATTATTTTTCTTCCCCTTAATCTTGGACCTAAATGCAGATTTGAACCAAGCTTTACCAGTAATTACTGGTGTGACTGAGCAAGTCAATCAGGCGCTTCCTGTGAAACAATCTATCCTCTGAAGAGTAACTGTGCATTTGTGTTTAGAGCTCTCACCCCGCCGTCCCATGCACACTCTGTGGAAATGGTGGAAGATGTAGAAATGTAAGTAATCATTGTGATGCATATAGTCTTCCTCAGGTAGAGCTACACAGAGGGGAATGTAGCAGGGAGTCATTAGAAGAATAAAAGCGTGCCTTCATTATAGGGAAAAAAGAGGAGGTGTATGTTTGACACCTATAGAAACTCTATGCATCCTCTTGTGCTTAACAGTTGTGTTGTCCTGACCTCAGAGCCTGGTCCCTTTCAGCAGAGGAGGTCATGTTTAGAACTACTTGAGTGACTTGGAGGCCACTGAGACTTCTTTGACTTGGAATTTTCCTACTGTCACCACCGTAAGGCAAGACATCTGGCCACCACAGCAAAGAGGAGAGGCCCAGATTCCGGGTCTCCCTTGTGCTACCTCTTCTTGGGCCTGGGCTTTCCTTTTGAGAGTTGCCCCATGATACCATCCTACCATGTGGGTAGGGAAAGAAGAAGAGGACTGCCAGGGCTGCTAACTCACCTCCCATCACCAACCTCTCATCAGTCTTCCAAGGAGACAGCTACAGTTGGGTCTCATTCTCTGAGATTATGTGGTTCGCTCGTTCGTGTGTGTGTGTGTGTGTGTGTGTGTGTGTGTGTGTGTGTGTGTCAGGGTATATTGCTGGCTGAGCAGCAACCCAGGGCTCTTCCTGTCTCCACCTCTCCAATACTTGGTTTATAGTGCATGTCACTATGCCCACCTTTTTACATGGATTCTGGGGATCCAATACTGCTTTGTATGCTTGCAAGGCAAGGCTTTACCAAATGAGCTCTCTCCCCAGCCCTGTTTTCTAAGTCTTTGCTGTAATTGGAAGCAACATTTAATTACATTCTCTTTCTTCCTATCCTGAGAATGTATTGTCATTATTTTTTTTCTCAATATAAATACATAGGTGTGCTAAGTTATGGTGATTAGTTTAAGATAGACTGAAAATAGTTACTCAATTTAGTTTTTTTTTTAAACATTTGTATAATGCACTTAATCTGTATTTAATGACTGTTTTGAATGTGTAGACTACCTTTTCCCCAATATTCAGGGCAGAAGACCGGAGAAATGTGCTTGTTAGTACAGTTCAGATCTTACCTGGAATATATAGCACAGCCATATGTCACCAGATTGTCTAATGTTTTAGCTTTCTTCTGGATTGTCAAATGTAAGAACTCCCATGCTGATCTCTGACTGACCTAGACTTTTGTGCTGTGCCTTTCCAAGAAAGAAACTGTTAAGTCAGCCAAATATGGCATCCCTTCAGAAAGAACACAAACTTTACAGTTGTAGACCCATGCATTCTACTTTAGATTGCTTAAGAGCGCATTGGAATTCTATGCTGCTTGCATCTTGCATCTTGGAGGCAAAGTAGAGCCTATAAATATATAAAATGTGTAAGGCCATCAATAGACAGTTTAGTGACATTACCTCAATAGAGTTTCCTCTCGTGTGAGGAGATTCATTATCTGCTTCCTGTATATTGACACAGTATACAGTATTTAAAATTTTAAGATACATCTTGAATGAGCTGCTTCCGGTCTTAGAAAAATTGTCATAAAGATAGAGGATTAAAAATTTATTGTGCCCAAAGCATCTTTATAATTTGGCATTATAGTCTGAGAAATATTTAATAGCTTTACAGAAAGTAATATAAGAAATTATATCTGAGAAAGAGCTACACATAATTATTATGTCTCATTCTTCATTTAACAGATCATACTTGTAACTAGCCTGTGCTTTCCGGTGAGCCTTATTTCCTCCACCATCTGTAGCTCTAGTTTTTGACCTAAGAAATCACCTAAAGGCATTTATTTCTTCCTTGTACTTCAGAAGAAGTAGAAAGGAAACAGAAACCATTGCTTTTCTTCCTTTCCTTGTTCCTCCTTCTGTCAACTTCTCTCTTTCTGTCAACACCACACACACACACCAGCTCTGTCCTTTACATTGATCTTGACTGATGGGAGACAGCAGAAGTACACAAATTAGTGTGAGTCATTGGTATGCCAGTAACACCTTCCTTTCAGCATAGTGTATCTAGATATGCTGCTGTATCCACTATGGTGCCCTAAAGAGAAAAGTAGGCTAGAAGCATGCTGTGCCAACCAGTTCTCCATAAATAGGTAAAGCGCACATTTTAGAAAATATACACATTCTTGGTATTTGCCCAAATACTCAATTTAGAATGGTTCGGGTACTTAGAAATATAGGTTGGTATAGTCAAATGCAGTCAGTCTTTGTCTCTGAAAACTTCTAACTCTCTGAAGGAGCCCTGAAGCTCAGCCCCCACTGGGTTCAAGTGATGATTTAATGATATCGCTGGCTTACCAGCATTTAGAAGCATCAGGACTGGGCTGCTAACTCACAAGTTTTACAGTCAGAAATGTTTCCTTCCTTCAGATTCATAGATCAGATCAAACTGGTGAGTCTGGAGATGGAGGGGGGGTGGTGGCATTCTAACTCTCCATCACTAAATGTTCAGTTCTTCAGCAGTTTTCACATACTTGCTAAGACTTTGCCTTTCTGGTGGGAGAAAAGAGCTTGGAGACATGGTTTAGGATAGACGGCTTGAGACTGAGTGAATGAATTCGGCCCTTGATTGGCCTGGGAGCAGAGGAGCCACGTGGCATAGAAACACCAACAGCTTTGTGCGCAGCAATAAGAGAATAGGAAAACAGTAACTGGCTTGATTAGCTGCTCAAACTTCTTTACTTAAGGAGGAGAGATTTGGGTGGGAGTGTGTGCATGGGAGTGTGTGTGTTTTACAGATGTGCATAGCCCCATGCGTACGGAAGTCCGATGCTGACCTTAGGATGCATCCTCCGCCGATCTCCACTGTATTTTTTGAGGAAGGGTCTCTCGCTGAACCTGCAGCTCGCTGTCTTGGCTAGGCAGGGCTATCCTTGAAGCCCCTTGGATCCATCTTTGTCTTTGCCATCCCACGTCACCATCTCTCGTACTGGACCTGGGATTTAGCTAAGTGGATGAGTTGGTCCTCTTTCTCTAACACTTCCCTAATTTACTGATTCGCCAACATTTTACATTAAAAAAAAAATGTTCTAGGGTCTCTGAAAGTACTTGAACCAAACGAAGAGTTTCCAGGCAACTGCGCTCTGTCCTTGACAGTCCTGTTTGCCACCTGCATTTTTGATTTCGCTGAGCATTGGGAACATATCTTGGTTTTGGCTAGGTGCTAATCACCCTAGAGTAGTTCTGTGTCATCCTCCATTTTTCCCAAGTATAACAGCCTCATCTAAGATGTAGCGTACAAGAAGATACTGCCGTGGATTCTCACACTGCACACCGGGTTTTCTTTTAAATGTGTGGCTGCAGTATTTTCCTTTGCTAATATATTTTGACATCTCCTTGTTGTAACCTGCTGTTCTCTTTAATTGCTTATTGTTATTAATTGTATAGTGGTAGCGTAGCTGGCTGCTTCAGCCACGTGGCTGTAAAGAAATCCATTCATCATTATTGCTGTTGGAGCTACAGAAAATTGCCAGCATTCTGCCCAGAGATGAATGCTGTGTGCTCACATCCAGTAAGATTTGGAAGGTGGACCAGGCCTCTCCGTCTGCTGCATTTCTTGTCTGTGCCTGAGGCACCTTTCTTTGCTCTGTTTCTGTTTTTGGTTTCGTTCGTTTCATTAGTTTTGTTTGGTTCTGTTGATTTGATCCTTGGTTACTGCCTTTCTAGTGGAGTGGACATGTCCTCAGTGCTCCACTGTGTCCTTTCTTTTCTCCCCAGGTTCCTCCCTGTACATTTTCTCTGAAGAGGTTCCCGGTCATAACGCTCCTGCTTTCACAGCTTTGTCACATATGCACCTCAGTTTAAACTGTTGATACTGTTTAGACATTACCTTGACCCCCACCTTTCTAAGAAAGTGGTTATGAGACCCTTAAAACCCTCCCTTCTCCTCACACAATCAGTGATCAGATGTACTTAGAATTCAGAATGTGAATGAATGAATGAATTAATTAATCGATTAATTAATTAATTAATTAATTAATTAATTAATTGATTGATTGATTAATGAAGTGTACGTGCTAGCCGGAGGCTGTGGGTTTACCCATATTCTGTTACTTCCTGACAGCTGCAGCATCTTGAAATCTAGACATAATTTAGGGCACACAAGCCCACAGCTGCCTGTGCCGTGGAGCAGCCAGACCAGTGTGCCCCTCTGCCTTCTGGCAGCGTGACATTAAATTCACACTAGTTAAGCTAACTTAAATTGAGCCTCCTTGAACCTTCCTAAATAAAACTAGTGGCCTTAATTACAATCAGGCAATTTAAAGGTTATGGAGCTCTAACTAGTACTGCAGTATATCACTTTAATAATGCGCAGGAAAATTTCTCTGAGGGGTGTCATCCTCTGATTAGGAGAATGCAAGTTTCACATTTCCAATAAACTGTTTTTAGAAATCTTACTGTGTTTATGGCTCCATTACCTTCTTCTGTTCTTCAAGGCCAAGTTCCTGAGGTCACACCAGAAGAGCAATAAAAATGCAGCTCATTTGCAAATATCATACAAGATTGTGATTTTTCACGTTTTGCTGCTTAATGGTTTTCTAACATCGCCTGCAAGTAGGAAAAGGCAAAAACCCTTGGGAGTCAGAGAGAATCCCACCCCTGCCACCCACGCATGCCATCACAGGCACACTGCGGTTTGGGGTAAATTTAGATTCTAAGCATCATAGCAAGCCAAAGATGTCATCTCTGCACTAAGTAATCAATCATACAGTTTCTTATGAAAGAGTTTCTTACAAGGATAATTAGCTTCAAAAATGCCCAAGTAGAGGCTGGAGAGATGGCTCAGCAGTGAAGAGCGCTCGCTGGCTGCTCGTGCAAAGGACCCAGGTTCAGTTTTCAGTACCAACATGGTGGCTCACATGTATCTGTAACTCCAGTTCCAGGGGATCTGACACCCTCTTCTGACCTCCAGGCACAATGCACGCATGTAGCGTACATACATACATACATGCAGGATAAACAGGCATATACATAAAATAAAAGTGATTCGTTCTTTGGGGCTGGAGAGATGGCTTAGTGGTTGCCAGCACTTACTGCTGTTCCAGGGAGGACTAGAATTTGATCCCTAGCTCCTACATGATATGGCTGATCATTCACCTATAACTTCTCCAGCTGGCAACTATGCTCATGTACACACACCTACCAACAGATTCACACGTACTCATACTTAAAAATGTAAAAAAAAAAAAAAAAATTCTTTTAAAAATCTCACAATTGTCCTTCTTCCCGAAACCCATGGCTATTCAAGACAGTATTTGCTGAAATAGTTAAACTTCACTCCATCCATCTCTTTTGTTTATCTGATATGTATTTCCTTTTCTGTCTTTTCTTTCTTTCTTTCTTTCTTTCTTTTCTTTCTTTTTTTTTCTTTTCTTTTTTTTTTGATCATCAGCAGTAGCAGGCTGTGCTTTCTAGCAAAGATAAACAGCTTTTTGGTGTTTGGAGACTTTTTCCACATAGCTAGTGGCTTTATGCCAAGCAGAAGAAGATTTAAAAAAAAAAAGAAAAAAGAAAAAGAAAAAGCCTTGACCCTTGCCGTAAACTCAGTGCTACAGCACTGCAGAAACCTCCCTGCTGAACGCTGTGTCTGGTCCACAGTTGCCATGGCTGGCCGACCACCATGTGGGTTAGTGATCACAGCTGCACTCGTGGTTCTCAAAGTTATTTTCCCCACAGATTTAACAGTCCAGCAGACTGAATTTAGTTTATAATGCATGAGCTCTTCCAATTTTGCCAATTAGGATTGCGTTTTCTTTTCTTTTTCTGTTTTGTTTTGTTTTGCTTTGCTTTGCTTTATTTTGGTTTTATTCAGTGCTTCGAAGGTAAATTTACCTGTGCTGCTGCCTGTACCAGAAGACCCAGATGCAAAGACACTGACAGTTAGGTATTTGATGTCAAAGGAAAGAATCTGTGGACCAGGGGCATGATAAACCATATGACTTTTAATTAAAAGAATGAAACCTTGTCATGCAAGAATAGCAACTGTTAGGAAAGCTTTTAAACCTTGGTAGATAGTACACTGATTGTCTTGTAAGCGTGTGGACCTGAGTTCAAATCCTAGAACCTTTGTTATTAAACAGACGAGGTGGCACGCCCTTATGATCTCAGTGCTATAGAGGCAAGACAGGTCCCTGGGGCCAGTTGGCCAGCCAGCTTTACTTAGTGAACTTCTGCATGGAGTTCCTGAGTAACCCAAGGGTAACCTTTATACACACACACACACACACACACTACACAGAGACACACCTGCACTTGTGCACACAGAAACACACATGCTCTGGGGATAGGGCTCCCCTATTATGAGGAATAGGGGAGGGGAGATAGAAGAAGGAGGTGGGACTAGGAGGACAGGAGGGAGGCCTATGATCGATATGTAAATTGAATTAATTAATAAAAAAAAAGAAAGAGAAACACATGCCCATACAAACACACCCCGAAAAAGAAAGAACACCTGCTTCTATGTCATGGAGTATGATACAGAGACTTTTCTGTGACCTATGGCAGAAGGAGCCGTGTTTGTGTATGGTCTGTGTGCTGACCTAGGGTTGTGGCATGGATTAGTGAGTCAAAGCTTACCCCTGCACTCCTTCATCCTGTAGTACTGTTTGGATTGGTGAAACACCCCACAGCTCCCACACTGCCTTAGTTGGGAGACGCCCTGGGCCACTCAGCTCTCTCCTAGGCGGAGCAGGAAATGGAAGTGCATCCTTGAGCGATGAAGATCCTGTTTCTGGTCACACAGGGCACCGGAACTCACTATGCAAAATGTAAGCCTTGGTTTTGAAGTTGGCCTTGTGTCCTGAAGTATGGGGAGAGGGGTAGATACACAACATAAGGAGAGGAGAAACATTTTTCAAGAGAAGGGTTTCCAGTATCCTCCTTGTGGAAACTGGATGCCTTTCCACCTGGCACAGTGGGGTAGACTCAGCCAAAGCTTTGTTAACAATAAGCCCTATTTCTGTGAGCAGGAAGTTCCTGGGCAAACCTAGCAGGCGCCTTCCAAGCTCCTGCACGCACGGAAATGAGGGTGTTCACAAGAGTTCAGGTATCCACAGAGGTCCGAAGGGCCAGATTACAGGCAGTTGTAGTCCTCCGCACACTGGTGCTAAAAACTGAACTTAGGCACGAGAGCAATATGGGTGCTCAGCCTCTGAGCCCTCCCTCCAGGCCTCAGGCCTGGCTTTGTACCGGGTTCCAGGAAATGAACTCAGGTCCTTGTGCTTGGGCAGCAATCTCTTTGCCATGGGCCGTCTCCAGGCCCTGTTGTTTCACTAACAAGTGTATGCTGCTTTCTTCCTGCACTTGCTTTAACAGTGTTTTCTCTCAGGCTGGGGGCTCACTACAAAGTTCTGTGGGGGCTTTTCCCAATAACTTCTGTTGTTTAATCAAAGCATTTAAGAGCCTCCCTTTAAATCGATTTGGTGACACTGTATGGTTTCACCGAGACATTAGCTGTGAGGACCACCAAGAGGTCACTGGGGGTGGCCAGGGCATCCGTCAGATTGCCACGTTATCATAGTCTGTTTGTTCTTGGCCCCCCAACTTGGGCCAAAACATCACTGCCGCGTCCTCACGGTTAGAGGTCAGCCACCTTTTCAGTTATTTTATTGTTTATAGTTGAAACTACATTCCAGTGTTTTCCTCCCACATGAGGATATTTTAATAAGTAGTCATTCACACAACCAGTAACAGTAGCCAAGGCATCGGACGATACTGCATCTCAGAGCATCTGAGGTCCCCCTGCCTGCCTTTCCCACCCCTACCCACCTGGACCCCCTGCTAGTTTCCAAGCTGCTGATGTTTATGGGGCTCTAGGCAGCCCCTGGGCTCTTTAATTCTGCTGGGGAACCATGCAGCCTACCCTACTTGAATCATTTCCTGCTCCGGCCCTGTGGATAATTAGAAGTTCAAGACAGGAAACAACAGTGTCAGTACCAGTGGCTCTGCTTAGGAAGTGGAAAAGTGGTAGAGCTTTTAGACTACTGGCAAAAAAATATCGCCAGGACCTGAGTTGCATGGAGACTTGCCCCTTGCAGGTCTCCTGAGGGTACTGTTGTGGCTTGGGCATAAGGGATGCATCCATAGCACTTGGCTCTCCTTGAGATGCCTGTGGCTTAGGCACTTTGTGCACAGAGGATCACCCATCTGGGTCACAGTCCCAGGGCCTTTCCGTTTTGTACCGTAAGAAGTCTTACCTTTAATATGTCTATCTCATGGCCCTCTCTTAGTGGCTTCTGAACCCCGACAGAAGCAAATATCGCCATACCGTCAATGAGAAAGCTTTCAGAAAGTACTGGTCAGTCTTCAGGCAGTATTCATTTTCATGTTAACTTGTTCCATAGAATAATAGTGAGTTCCAGAACTCCCTAACTGGTGTGAAGAAAGGAGCAAGGAAAAAAAAGGCTCATACACTATTCCGTCCTTTCCAATTCTGCCTTACTTCAGGGGCTTAATGACTAATCTACTGGCGGACTTTGAAGCCTGAGTCGTATTCTCCACTGCCAAATTAGCACCTTGGTGTGTTTATGTTGCAGTTGTGAAATATGTGTAGTGTGTAACGCAACAAATTATTGTGGCCAGAGTACCGTGGACCCGAGAAAGAATGGGATGGCTGCATGCGTAGCAAATTGCAGTGCAGGCTGCCTATTTTTCTAGCAGTGGTTGCCAGGGTGAGCCGGTGTAGCCGAGGGCTGGGTTTGTCATGTATGCCTTTGCTTTGTTAGCCCTCAGACCCCTGGCTTATAAATGTGTGCTTGGAAATTAACTCAGGGAAGAAGCAAAGCAGAGGGCGGCGGGAGCGAGCCTGGGTGTTGGGAATTGGTCCAGGGCATAGTTTTCTCAGCTTTAAAAATATATGTGTGTGTAGGCATAGAAGGTGCACACATTCAAACTGGAGGGGCAAATTACAACTGCAGGGCATCTGGTTTCTCTGTTTGGGTTCTGAGGAAAGAGTTCAATCCCTGTCAGGTCAGAGCTTTTTTAACATGGTCCCTGTCACATGATAGTGTGTGGTTGGGGAGGACTCTGGCCTGTAGATTTCTGTAGTGGAAGGACCTCAGAAAACCCTTCCAGCCAGGCCCGAGGGTAAATAGAAAGGGTTCTACTTATAAACCATTAGAAATTGGTCCTCAGTGTTGAGGAGACATGTAAATGGGGCCCCCAGTGATTTCTAAGATAACAGCAGCATGTAACTCAAACACTGAACATTTGCTTGGAGTTGCTCTAGACTGTTGTTTCATATTAGAGGAAGGGAGTATGAACATGGACATATACATGATCTGTAGGCGGGGGAGGGGGTCGCCATTGTGGAAAGCTTGTTCCGACATGGCAGTGTCTTGTCTTAGACTGACAGTGGCCGTGTTGGAACTCATACTCTGACTTGGGCTGGAGCATTCAAATGTTGACTGTTAGTTCTTTGCTGCAGTGCAGCTGACTAAGAATTCTGTGGGTGCAGGATAGTGATTGGAGAGAGAGAAACACTTGCCTTTGCACTGGCTCCGGTTAGGGCAGAATGAGCCTTTTCTTGGAGAAGAAAGTTCATCACAATTCATTATGTTTCTCACTCAGGCAATGAGGTGGCACACCAATTACAATTACATATGCGGACTCGTTCCTTGAAATGTTTAATATGGGAGTAAATATTTACATGAGCATCAGACTCTTATGTAGGCTTGATTCTTGTGTACATATGTTCACACTTACATAAAGATTAGCAAATGAAAATAATTGTTTTAGCTCTGGTTTCTATATATGTGACATTATTTCTCAATTATGCTCAGGCACTCTTGGTCCTACCTTGCAACAGCCAGGAAAGCAATCTATCAGCTCTAGTATGTGCTCAGGAAGGAGAAGGCCACTCTGACCTTTTACCCATGTCACTGGGCACCTGCACACCTGGCACAGTGCAAGACTTAGGGATGCTGTGTGCCTGTGAAGTGAGCCAGGCTTAGAATGAGCACTCTTCCGTGGCTGGCTCATTTGCACTCTGAGGTTTCCCTCTCCCTGTCCTAGCACTGACTTCTGTTTTCATGTTTACTTGACTAGAATACTTCCAGTTGTTATATTCAACATTTGGGTTTTTCTATACTCCATCATAATGCTCATTTCCTACCAGCCTTTTAGCTATGAGGCTTCCAAAGCTGTAATCAATCTTTATTAGCAGGGCACAGAAACGACTCTCCTTTTCCACTCCCTTCATCCCTCCCTCCTTTCCTCTCCCTTCCTCCTTCAGAGTAATGTACAGAGATAAACTATGCTTGTTGTAGAAAGTCTGGAGAATAGAGATAACCAGAAAACATGGCATGGAAACATCTAGAAGTTTCATCCAAAGAGCCCACCTATAACTCTTCATTTAAAAAAAAAAAAACAGGGCTGTGCTAGCCTATTATAGCCTTAATGAAATATTGTAATGGTTATTAAGTCAATTGACTCTGAATCTCTTTTTAATAAATGAGTCAGACTGTATTATCCAATTACTGTCAGCTGCTACCTTTCCAGAGAGGAGAAACGGTGATTTTTGATTGAATTTTTTAAGCTCTTTGGCACCTTTAAGAAGGAGGAAGCAAGGTGCAAGTTCTGGCTTCAAGGCAGATCCCACTTGAAATTGAAATTGGAGGTGTTGATAGTATCTCCTCATGAGCATCAGCTGCTGGAAGGAACACCTTTTTGCAAGGAAATGGCCTATAATGCAGATGGACCCCCATTACACTGTAGGTTTGTCAGTTCTTTAACAGTAAGATGCTGCTGCTGACCACACAGGTGAATGCAGAACTCCTGAGGGCAGAGTCCACAGGGTCTCTGAAAGAAGCTACTTTTGCAGTTCCTCTTACCAAGCAGTTTTATTAGCATTCTCTTATCTCTATCCCTCCTCTGTTAGAACAGTAAGGACATGCTCAGCTAGCGTTAAACATGACTGCTTGGGTTCCAGATGAAGCCCCCTCGGCTCCTGTGTTTTGAGTTATTGCTTCTCAGCTGGTGGTCCCAATTTGGGGATACTGTGGGGGTTTTAGGAAGCAGAGCCTAGCCATGAAAAATAGGTCACTGAGGGGATGGCCTTGGAGTCACCACATGATTGACCTCCAGCTAGAGCCTCTACTTACTGATTCCCACCAAGTGGAGCAAGCCAGAGTAACAGAGCCCACAGACCCCAGCTGCCATGTCTTCTCCATGATCCGGTATGCTCCCTTTACACCACGAACCAAAATAAACCTTTCCTCACTGAAGCAGGGGCTGCAGGCTTTTTGTCACAGTGACAGATGAGAAAAGTATAGAATGCAGTCCCCACCCTCCTGTCCTGCAGCCAACCATGTGGTAGTGGCCGAGAGTGAGGATAGGGAGATGTGGGGAAGGGACAACAGAGAAGTGGATGAGGATTCTCACTGTCTGCTAGAGCATTGGTTTGGGCTACAGTGGCTGACTAGCAACTGATGGATTTCTCTCCTGCTCAAATAACTTGGAGATCCATTTATTGAAAAAAAAAAGTCACTGTTTAACCTACAAATAAAAGGAAATTGAATTTGCAATATTTTTTCAATATTGTAATGTGCTTTAAAACTGAAAATAGATCTCAAGAATGCTTGCTATGATTGCTGTCACTTAGTCACTCTGCAAACAAAGGGTATAATCTGTGAAAAATAAGTCTGTGCTAATAATTCATAAGTAGCTCCATGGCTGACAGTCACTGTTCTTGATTCATTTGACTAAATTTAAATTATTTAGCTTTTGGGGGTCTGCTTTACTCTGGGCTGAAAAAAAAAAGAAAGAATGGGTGAGGCCATTTTTCTTGCATTCAAGCAAACATCTTATTCATTTTTCTTTTATTTTTACATCCAAAGTGTGTGTAGTCAAAAAAGCGAATGTCACATTAAAAAAGCATCTTACGTAACTTGCATAATTTCCTTTATGTACATATCCAATCAGCCCCTGTCCCCAAGGAAAGACCTCAGCAAGACTGGTCATGTGACTTTAACATCTCTGATAGCCCAGGAACTCAGGAAAATTGTGTCCCTGCTCAGACCCACGGCTACACCTCAGTTCTCATGGACGAAAAGAAGGGGGAGGAAGAAAAGTGGATTAGTTTTTATTTTTCTTGCGTGAACTTACTGGGCACAATGTGAAAAGGCAGATACAATTTTTAAATGGCATTATGACAGAAAAGCTATTCAGTATTTTCTTACTTTTCAAAATAAAGCTATATTTATTATATATATTTAGGAATTTTAAAATTTGGCAGGTACTTCTGATCATATTTAACTCAGTTCTATGCAATAAATAGTGTTTCTTATATCTTAATGACTGAAACCTGGGAAATTTTTGGTGACTTTAGGATTTAAAAGAAAAGAACAGATTAAAAAAAAAAAAAGGAACAATTGATCTTACATAATCCCTAAAGCTTTTTGTGTAACCCCTTGTCATGTCAGTAGGCACAATTAAACTTCTTCTTAAATAATTATAATCAAGGAGTGTGCGGTGCCACCCAAGCACAGAGTGGGTTTTTATCTCCTGTGAAATGCAGACTGTACTGGGGGCTTAATTAGTGCTTTGCTTTCTCCTTCTACAAATTCCTGTCCTCTGCTTCTGAAGACTCACGCTTGTGTGAGAAGAAAGATTAGAAATACAAATAGAGTGATTTCGCTCCTAGTTAGCTGATAATAGTTCCCTTTGTAATTGAACCTTTGTGTTTCCAGATCCCAAGCAGTGAGGCACCTATGCAGGAATTTATCTTTGCATGGGGTGGGGGGGAACACCTTTGGAGTTTAGATTTGCTTTTTCCCTGGGTGTAAATATATCTTAACCTCCTGGGCCTGGTGTGTCTGACAGAGATGCCTCTGAGCAGCATCTTTAACTTTTGCAAATGGAAAGTAGACCTAATAAGGAGCAGGTCACAGTGTGGCCTCTGCCCCTTGCTCCTCCTAACATCCTGGGGATAGCAGGTGTGTGGCATAGCTTTTGTCTAAGTTCATGAACCCTGAGGCCAAACTGCCCGCGCCTAAGTTCTGCCTCCTTCAATTACTAGCCCCTTGGACTCAGAGAATTTCTAAGTTGTCAGGATCATGGCTTTCTCACCTGTCAAGTGGGTATAAAAACAGCCTTCCTCATGAGCCATTGTGAGGTTGAGTGGATTTGTATTTGCAGACGTATTGAACACAGCATAGTGAGCGTTGTCATTCGCCAACTTGTTAGCCTTAATGAAGGGATTGCCGCCTGGCTAGATTGTGAGCTGTTAATATGGCAATTGTCAACCAACCCAAATCATTCTTCTACCATCTCATGATATCTAATGATCTGGAACTTGACAAAAGTGAGCCTGGATCTCAGAAAAGCAGAGATGAGGCAGGGAGAGAGAGGCCGGGGGAAAATTAAAACTGTCAAGCAAAGTTAAAGGAACAGTGACCGGGGGTTGGA